CGCGTCCGCAAACGCATGTGCACCAAGTAACGCCGACACGTGTGCAGCAGTAAATGTAATCTTGTCGTCGAGGTCAGCGCGTCGTGGAGATGCTACTTTATCGCGTGGCTCGAGGCCAGGAAGGAAGCCTCGATGCACTAGCAGGTTTTTCGTTGGGTATGCAAGCCATGCCAACGCTGAGCCGATGTTCCGGTCATCGTGGCTCCATCCCACTCGGTGCGATTTTCAAGTCGGTTATTACGTTTCGTTTGGTCTCAAAGCCACGAACGGACAGCACAATTTGGATTGCGATCGATACACGATACAGGGCAAGTCTGTGGCCAGTGGGCCTGCTTCACGTCCGCAGATGCGGCACGGACCACCGGCAGACAGCGATCGATCACGAGGGAAATTCTAGGACAAACAGAAGTATGCATTAGAAAAGTTTCGGTGGAATCCTTCCGTTTCCTGTTCGTTCCGCCTCCCACCGCATGTTTTGAAATACCTCCAGAAGTGATTAAAAGAACTCGTCAAACTTGATTATAATTCCTTTCCCGAGGGTCACCGATCGGACTACAATTTTTCCCCTTCCGACGGCAAATGTCCACGCCATCTGAAAGCAGCTAGTTCACGGAGAGAGAAGACGTCCTCCGTTTGACCCAGGTTATGGTCGACATGCCTCACCTTGCTCGGCGTGGTGCAATCATGTCGGCTTGGGACTGTGTTGCCCGAAACCTCATCAGCAGTGGTGAATTTGACCGTCCCGAGTTCGACGGCAAGAAGGCACAAGCAAGATTTGCGATAATGCTGCGCGACCACCAAGACAGGAACGAAACCTCTGCAAAGGCTTCGGGTGCTGCGGAGGAGTACACAGAGCACAGGATCCTGCTCGATAACCTTTTGGCGCAAGTGTGGCAAGCCAATGAGGAAGGGGAGAAACGCACGGCCGAAGAGGAAGCAGCAGCTGCTCAAGTAGAATCATCAGCGGCTCAAATCCGGGACGAGGCGATGAAGTCGCAAGGTAAACGAAAGGCGATTCGATGACGAAAGTGCATCGACGGGAGGTGGATAAATGCTAAAGGTACTTGCGTTGATGAACGAAGGTGGTAAAAACGATCACGATCTACGCAAGTTTAAGTTTGAAAAAGAAATGGAAGAACGCAAAAGGAGCGCGAATTTCAAGCTGAAGACCGAAACAAGGACCGCGAGATTCAGACACAACAAATTCAAATGCTGCAGACAACAATGACAACTCTTCTTAGTGCGTTGGTGAAGAAATTGTAAAAAAGAAACAATGACAATTTGTCAAGATCATGGCAACACAAACAATTTTTGCAACTGGTGATTGCATAATCTTCGCTTGGTTTTTGAAAGTGATGAAACGCCACAGAGTTTTCATGATCTTGAAGTTCCATTCCACGGATTGTCGAACGCTGCTCATGGTTTTGTTAAATTGTTGTTGCTGGGGTGTCAACCGGTACCCACTCATGACACATTTCGTCACGCCGTAAGCTGGATCGCCGTATATGTACCTCGAC